TAATCATTGTTCAAGGGAGAGTCCTTAATCTTCCTCCAATCCTCTCCCAGTCTCACCTGAGCATCCATGTACTCATAAAATCCACATTCCTAAATATCTCTTCAATCTGTCACATTGCCTCCATCCCCATATACTACTGCCCAAGCTGAACAACTCACCTTCCCTTACCTGGACTGTTACAAACGTGTCCTATCTGGTTTCCCTGCCTCAAATCTCACCCACCCTGGGGAAGCCTTTCTCCATGGAGGGGAGGGAAGGCTTTTAAACTGTATATTAAATATTTCAAAAGCTTCCCACCACATATAAAAAGGTTCATGCGCATACAAAATCCTTTGTTATTGAGGCTCTGCTTATATTTCCAGTCTTATCTCCCATCACCTCTTTTATTCATTATAGACCTGCAGAACTAACTGGAGACCTGAGGTGTCTTTTGACTGATCCAGAGGGATTTTATCATTATTTGAAAATGTGCAAATCCCATGATATAAATATTTCACTCTATGTGCACTACAGCAGGGGTTCTCAAATGCTGGTGTATATCTGAATTATCTGGAAAGTTAATAAAGAACTCAGAAGTGGCAAGCTGGTTGAAGGACAGGGCTGGCCTTTGTATTTTTATGAAGTTCCCTACGTGATTCTGTTACCTACCTAAGTTTAAGGACCACTGCGTTAAAGCTAGGGCCAGCAAACTATAGCCTATAGACCAAATCCAGCCACAGGCTGTTTTTGTAAGCCAAGATTTGTTAGAATAAAACCCTACCTATTCATTTAGGTATTGTCTATGGCTTCTTTCACACTACAATGGCAGCATCAAATAGTTGTAGCAGAGATCAAATGGCCTGCAAAGTATTAACTATCTAGCCCTCTACAGAAAAATTAGCCAATTCTGGAGGAACACTTTATATCAGGAGACATGTATAAGTATGTTCCCTGAGGCAATGTTTGTCACAGTGAGATTTTGAAAAATCCTCAATGTACATAAATAGGGGAATAAATAAATTAAGATATGTATTATTATACTATATATGTATAGTAGAATACTATGTAGCAAATAAAATTTACCAGATCTTTATGCATTAACATGGACAGAATAAAAATGGATGATGTGTACAATATATTTTTACATGCATTTTTAGACACAATATCTGGAAAAAGGTATTTAAAAATAAATTAGAATGGTATATACCAAATCCATGATCATACTTGCCTATAAAGGGAAAGAGACACAAAGGGAATAAAAGGGTCCTCAACTCTATAGATTGTTTTCATTAAAACATTTGAAATCAAAAAGTGACAAAAATTAAAGATTTGCTAATACTAGAATATACTGTTTGCCATATTATCCTCTGTGGGTTTTATTTTATTCAAAATTTAAACCACAAATAACCTAAAATATTCAACTATAGGGAAAAGGAATTGAACATTAATAATCCAATGCAATGAAATATAATGTAGCTCTTAAAAATATACATGAAGAAAATGTAACATAAGAAATTATTGGTTTAATTGTCCATGATTAGTACAGGACACAAAATTGTCCATGAAATAGGGTTAATATTATATATATATTTTAAAAGTGTTATCCTTATTTGTTCCCTTTTGGCGTTCATTTATTTATTGGGTGGTAATTTTTAATCAATATACATGGATGTAGAACTTTAAAAAAAGAGGTCAATAGTAGATATATTTGACTTAATATTTATCTTTGTTTTTTTATTTTCCATGTAGTATTAAATGAATACATATTACTTTAAAATGAAATGGTACTTAGGGTGCCTGGGTGGCTCAGTCATCTAAGCATCTGACTTTGGCTCAGGTCATGATCTCAGGGTCCTGGGATGGAGACCCCAGTTGACAGTCAGGCTACCTGCTCAGTGGGGAGTCTGTTTCTCCCTCTCCCTCTGCCTCTCTCACCCCCAATCCCCCGCCTTGTGTGAGCTCTCTCTCTCAAATAAATAAAAATCTTTAAAAAAAAAATGAAATGGTATTCATTGAAATTGACCTTGTGTGGCAAATAGAGCTAATTGCATAACAGATACTCATTTTCTACCCTTCTTCCTACTACTGTGCTCAGTAAAACACTAAATTTCCCAGCCTTTCTTGTGATACAGGAGGCCACATGATGCATTTTTAACCAATGAGATGTAAGGGGAGACTGTGTGCAGCAAGCTGGAAAGTGTTTTGAAAGAAAACAAACTTGACTGGCCTCCACTTTGCCCTTTTCCCTTCACCTACTTCTTTCTATTGAAAGAGAAGGTGAAGCAGGTGAGAAAGTGAAGCAGCCATTTTGTGAGCATGGTGAACAAAAGTCATTCATTAAAGGATGGCAGAGTGGAAGGCAAGTCAGGAGCCTGGAGGAGCTACTTCACCAACCCGGACTGCATCCCTCTAACACTTCCTGTTACGTGAGAAAACAAAATGAAACACCTTACTTGTTTAAGCCTTTTTCTTACATGCAGCCAAATGTAACCCTTTACTGAAACATCTTGCTAAAATTAAATATTAATAAATTATACTGCTGAAAGGCACTTTAAAGATTATCTCATCTATAGTACCTGAGGATGAGAAAAATAATCTTCAAAAAGGTTGAAGGCCTGAAGCCAGTCTCTATCAGAAATTTACTCACTTAAGTGAATCCTTGTTCTAAAATATTAAAATCAAGTCCACTTTAATGACCCAGTTTGTAAATTACTTTTTTAATATTTATTTCTTTTTCAAATGGTAACATTTTTTTTAAATTACATATATATTGGTCAAAAATTGGTATTCATCCCTGTTTTTGCCCATAAGCAAACTTGAAATTTGAAGTTACTCAAAATTAGTACTCAAACTGACATCAATTTCTTAAATATGTCTGTATAGGTTAAAGACCAAAATCTACAACAAGGATAAAGAATCAGTAAATTTACAAATAGTGTTTGAATTCATATTCTATCCCCCCAAAACAATTTAAACCCTTTTCTCTAAATATCAACCTAATAGAAAATGTCTGCATTTCATTAAGAGTATGTGTCTGAATTTCATAAATATTGTTTTTATATAAAGAATAAGACTTAGTATACTATCTTTTTCCTTGAATAAAAGACTTCATCATTAGATATAGGATTCTTGGATCCCAGTGCTTTTTCTCAGTAATTGGCTACTTCCACCACCAGCTACTTGGCTAGTTTCCTAACACCTGCTGTTCATACAAACTCCTCCTGGATTCCACTGTATAAGAAAACCCAAATACTCATGCATGCCTCTGCCCACAGAATAGAGAGAACCAGTTCCTTAAACACCTGAACTTTCATTATCTTTTTTTTCTGCTTCGTACATGGCCCCACTCTTGGTTTTTCTAACATTTCTTTAGTCCTTTACTGAAGAGAAATATAATTCTCCACCTCCAGATCTAAACCTCTTAGAGAACCACATTTTTTTTTCAAGAATAACACAAACTCATCAAAGGGAAAAAAATTTTTGTCAACATGAGTATGTTACAGACTCTGAGGTAGCAATTAGAAAACCAATCAACTGCTTCTTACATATGCTGTAAATCGTCATAGCAGGTCCCACCAGCACTTGCTGCTATTCTCCATAAGGCTGGTGATACCCAATTTCTTGAGCTAGCACTGAGGATGAGTTATCAGGAAACTGGGAGTCAGAATATTTTATGTTCTGTAGCTAGCATTCTATATTTTATATTCTATAGGTAGAATTAAAATCCTATCCACAATTAATAAAGACAAGGCTTAAAATAGCCCTTGCGGCAATTTCTAAATACCACAAGATGGGGATATGACTCCATGATTTTTCCTGGCTTTCTAAGACACAAAAATAAAGGTATTTCTGGGTTGAAAATAACAGAGGTGTAAAAATTAGTTTATTTCTCCCCTGATTTATTATTTTAAAAAATATATTTTTCTGTATTTTTCACTAAAGATCTGCAGTTATTCGAAGAGCAATCTCTATAATGCTCTGGTCCTCAGGACCTCTGTGAATATAGCAGTCAGTTAAGTGCTCTACATAAAGCTATTAAGAAACATGTTATTTCTGATAAGCAGTATAGAATGGCTGTTGGCATAGCACAGTCTAGTCAAACGGGCATAGATTTTTTTAGAGAAAGAGAATCGACCTCCACATTTCCAGACTGTGTGATTCTGAGCAAATCACTTAATTGTTTTAAGGTTAGTGTCACATGTATTAAAGGAAATAATATTAAATTTTATCTCATTGGGTTGTGTGGTCCTGCCAATTTAGTAGTGTATTGTATTTTCATTTTCATATAAAGTACCCTTGATTTTTTATAAGATTTCCATGTTTTTCTGAATATTCTTGAAATAAAAATTCAGCATGAATTCTAAAGAAAAGGCTATTTCCACGTATGCTCGAGACCCAGCATAAGTCACGCTTTAGGTCTTCTCTACATTTTAAAAAATAAACATTCAAACGAATGAGAAACAAATGTGCTTTGTAAAGTATAAAACATATAAATTCAAGTAATTTATCAGGAGGAAAGGCTGTCACTAGGGCAGCCCAAAGAAAAAGTAGGTCAATCAGTGTAATAAGGTTTCTTTCATGTTATAGGGTAATTTTATGGGTTCTCTGTTAGATTTTATACATTGTGTGTGTGAATGTGAATGTATGTATGTATATATCTATATGTGTATATGTATATTCCAGAGGAACTAGAAAGGAAATGTTTTTAGATAGGTATATATTTGTGTTTAATAGGCTCTTTTAGGTCACAGGAAGTAGATACACTCAGGTTCTACCTGGACTGACTATTGAGATTCTTTTCTTCCATTTTGTTTGTACCTGCAACCCTGCCCAGCTTTATAAGGTGGAGATTAAGTTGAAGGATCTGCTATAGAATTCCTTGCTTCCTAGAAACAGTTCCACTGAATGAAATATTTTGGAACTTACCCCAGTCTTCAAACTTTTTTTGGAACCTGTCTAAAAAAGAAGTACATAATTTCTTTCCTTCAATTATTCTTTTTGTTTAACCAGCTTTTACTCACCACTGGCATTTGTTCATAGACACAGATAGAAGACAATCTACAATAAAACAAATATGAAAATATTAACAATTAATATTTTATCATTTTTAACTCAACTTATAAAACATATATATATATAGTTGCTTTTGTACCTGAAGGATTTCCACGGATTTTTTCCATTTTCTCTTCTAGAGAAACAATTTGCTTTTCTAGTTGATCATTCAGTTCAAGTTGTGTCTCATAACGAACTTTCCATTCACCACCTGATTGGAAAAGTAGGGAAAATCAAGATCATCTTGTTACCTCTCATTTATTTACATTAATCAGCTCATTTAAATCTCCTTTAAAACAACATTAATCAGCTCAATCTTACTGTACTTGACTTTGTTAGCAATGTAGATGAACAAGAGTGAAGTAATTTTTAAGTATGCATTTCTCTGTTAGATAGGATCTTTCAGATTGCAGACAGTAGATTCACAGTCAGATTACCACACAGCCAGACCTCACTAGAATTATTGTGATTCCTGGTCTCCTTGTCTCCTTTGTCCTTTAGTTCCTCACATACCCTTATAAGGAATTCTATTAGCGGGACTATTAGAACATGTTTCTTTCCTTGGAACTTGAAATATCCATACCTAACAGCCTAAGTAGTTCTAGCTTCCATCCAGCGTCATGTCCATTTTTTTTCCTTTGCAAACAAATTCTTAAGTACGTTTAACAATTACCACTTACATCTTTGCTATGTATAAAGTACAAAATGTTTCACATGTATTAACTAATTAATCCTCATTTTAAAAACTTTGTCACCTATTTTACAGATGAGGAAACCATGGCTCAGATATGTCAAACAACATTCTCAAAATGAAAAAGCCAATAAATGGAGCAACTGGGGTTTGAACCCGGTTTTATCTGACTTCAAAGTGTATCCTCTTAACCGTTATGCTAATACATGCAGCTGCCTATTCAGGCATCTTCTCTTATCCTTAAGCAGGTTTCTTTCACCAAGCCCCTTTGGTTATTAGGGTCAAAACATCTGTCTTATTGCTATAGGAGGAGAGGAGAATACAGCCTAGAATTAAAACATCTTTGGTCAGCTTCAAGGCCCAAAGCTAATTTTTTTTAATCTTGAAAGTCACACTTTATAGAGAGATAAAAGATGGCTTGCTTCTAAACTTTAAATGCTCTTTACATATATGAGACAATTTCTGCTCCATCATAGTTGACAGAGGAATCTAAGTAGGAAGAGTATTAGCACATATCACTGGCCTCAACCTCCTCAACCCAGCCACATGTTTCCCTTAGGCTCCTCATCTCTAGTAAATACAGTGTTCCAAAAACAGGAGCAGGAACACCCTCCCAAACTGAAGTTGAAAGTCATTAATCCAAACGCTTTAGGAACAAGAAGGAAAGAGAAGCCTGAGAGACTGAACATTTATCCAAAAGATACTACTAAGTCCAAATAGATGGAATTATCTGTATAACTGGCTAGCTAGTCTCTTTGTAACTGGACCCCTTTCCCCACCATGGGAATGGAGGCTTCAGAGCAAAATCAGAAGTTACCAAAAAATTAAGAATGTAATTTATTTTTAGTACATCCGACTATAGTCTAGAAATGTTTGCCTTCACTTTAAATATTATTGATCTAGAGATCCTCAAATAAAGTAAGCCTGGTATTATACTATCATTTATTAATGTTAATAAGTGCAAGTCCCTGGTGGTAATGATGTCAATATTCGCATTCCCCAATGTGATGAACTGATCTCAAATGTACACACTTAAATGTGTAACTCCTTCAGTATGTATACACAGATGGCTCCAGATTATAGGGGACAAAAGACAAAGAGAAAGCATATGGACTGCTGAATTATAGGAGAAAATTTTAAAATAGCAGTGTCTATAAAAAATAGGAAAAAATAGACTTCTGCTGTGGGGTCACACTGTGACTTTCATGGGCCCTTGTGGCACTTTTGCCTTTATGGGCCTCTTCCTCTGTAAAAAATATTAAAAATTCTACTTTACTACTAGGTTGGTATAAAGACAAGTATAGTCCAGACTGGATAATATTCATTTTTTCTTCTGATTTTAAAATAAAATATCTCATTGGCCTCTAAAAGTATCACACAAATCACATCAACTTCCTACTTATCAAGTATTTCCTTTTTCTAAGAAAGGACCACACCGATTATTTCTTTCTCTACCACATCTTGTTCTGTGATAACCCAAAATACCCAAAATATTAAGGTTTATCATTTTTGCATAATTCTTTATCCATCTTTAAAATACAATAATGTTTAAATTATATTTTCAATTGGAAATAAGAGTAGCGGTTAAAAGTAGCAAGTTTTTTGAATAGGCTTGTTACTAAGGGAAGGTAAGAGACATCTGAAACACCCAAATAAGAGATGTGGTGCTATCTTTGAGACAGCCACAATATACTTGACACCAAAAAGGATGATCCCTGACCTTTAGCACAATAGCAGCCAACCTATAAAGGCCAACAATAAACTTACAATAAACCATTATTTAAAATACAGATTATGAGGATAAAAATCTAACAGAAACATTTGTGTCTCTTGGTGGAAAAAATACCCTGAACAATACTTCCATGAACCATTGCTCCTTCAGTAATTCTAAAAACAAACAAGAACCAAGCACCAATTTTTTTAAAAGATGTATTTATTTTGAGAGAGAGAGAGAGTGCACGCACACTTGGAGGTTGGGTGAGGGGAGGGGCAGAGGGAGAGAGAGAGAATCTCAGAGCAGACTCCCCACTGAGCATGGAGCCCCATGTCAGCTGGATCTCTCAACCCTGAGGTAATGACCTGAGCCAAAATCCAGAGTATGAAGTTTAACTCACTGAGCCACCCATACACCTGAAACAAGCACCAATTTTTAAAGAAAAATCAAATTGCTTTGCATTATCAAAGAGGGATCTTGGCTAGGATCAGTGCAACAAAAAGCAAAATCAAACCAAAATTTGAAACACTGTAGAAATTTGATTCATGGCCAATTTTATGAATTGACCATGGAAGAGGAAGTTCATAAAGTAACAGAAAATTAAATTATGGGGTGCATGGGTGGCTCAGTCGGTTAGGGATCTGCCTTCAGCTCAGGTCATGATCCCAGGGTCCTGGGATGAAGCCCCGCATTGTCGGGCTCCCTGCTCAACACAGGAGTCTGCTTCTCCCCTCTCCCGCTGCCCCCCCCACTCATGTGCTTGCTCTCTAATAATTAAATAAAATCTTTAAAAAAATTAAATTAGGTAGAGCCCTATCTTTTAGGTATGGATTTTTAGTTTCTTTCTTTTTTTTTTTTTTTTTGGTCTAAGAGAGATAGCAGTGTTAACAAAAACAAACAAAGCCCCACTAAGCAAAAATGCCAAATAATACATTTTTAAGTGTTAAAAAGAACACAGTTGAATTGGTTGAAACTTGACTCTACATAGACTTTAATAATTCTGTCATGTTTAATTGTGCTGTCACTGTATTTACAATGATAAAAGTGATGAAGTTACATTAATTTGCATAGACTTTGTAAATAAGAAAATGTTAACAAGGAAAGGAAAAAGCCTAATATGTGGCACTGTACTGGGCACTAGGGATACAAAAATAAGATAGACACAGTCCCTGCAGTCAACCAGCAGTAGGACATGTAGTGGTGGGGGGAGACATATGGCCAGAACATTTGAGAAAACTTGGTTAAGTAGATGCTATGGAACACACAAAAGGACATCCAATCTGGAAGGTGGCAGAAGACACTGAGAGATAGGGAAGTCAAGATTGAAGAGGCTCAGGAAATGCTCTTGGGGGAAATGACATTTGTTCCAAGCCAGAGGAGGTGAGAAAGGATATTGAAGCAGCAAGAACAGCATGAACACAAATACCAACATGTCAACAAAGGGGAGGATACAATGGTGCAAAGAGTATCTCCTGTGGTAAAGGTGCCCCCAACCAAATTTTCAGATTTCATGAGGAAAAATATCCCCAAAGTAGGACTAATGAGTTTAAGTCATGTCTCTACCACTTACTAGCTTATTTATGTGATCTGGAGGAAGTTACCTTTCCTGTGCCTCAATTTCTCATCTCTAAAATAAGGAAAATTGAAGTTCCTATATTATAGGATATTGGGAGGATTCATTAAAATATGTAAAATTGCAGGGCATACACAAAATGCTATAAAATTACTGCAAAATTGTTCTCTAAAAGGGTAGCTCTATATTGTTAGAAGTAATGTATAAAGTTACAATTTCACTTAAAAAATATTTCTTCAATAGCAACAAATTGTGTTTCAATTCAAGTTTCTTTGAAGAAAGAACAAATTGGATATTTTCGATCCTCATAAATTGTCTCTGTTCTACTTATATGTATCTACTGGGAACTTTGTTTTTTCTAATTGAATTGCAGAGGATATAGATGTAGTGAAAATATGGACCTTTTGTCCATCATGTTGGCTACTAATACATTTCCCATATTGCTGTTTGACTTCTCATAGTGTTTATTTTTTTTTTTTTAGTTAAAGGGAAGGTGTTTGTCAAACCTAAACATATTTTTCCTCAGTGATTTATTATTCTTAAGCTAAAAAAGGCCTTTTTTACCCTTAAAAAGATATATATTCATCAATGTTTTCTTATAATTAAAAAAAAGGTTAAACCCTATAATGCATCTGGAAGGTTTTAGAACTAAGTATAAAGATCTAAAGGGATTTTTTTCTAAATGTTATACCAATTTTCCAAACAGAACTTATTGAATAATTCATCCCTTTTCTTTCAGCTCCTTTAAAGGTCTATGTGATGACACAAATTCCAATAAAACATTATTGGTAATTGGCTCTTTGGTTCCAATTCTCTGCCCAGAAGCCTCTTCTCAAACTTGGGCAGGCAGGCCAAAGTTCTTATTTCTTGGTGGTGGGAAAAGGTCCAGATAGTAATTAGAAAGTTGTTGGTGGACTGAATGTTTGTGTCCCCCTAAAATTCCTGTGCGGAAGCCCTAACCCCCATGTGACTTTATTTGGACACAGGGCCTGTGAGGAAGTGCTAAATGTTAGAGGAGGTCACAATGGGTGGGGCCCTAACCTGATAGGGCTGGCACCCTTATAAGAGGAAGAGATACCAGAATTTGCTGTCTCTGCCCTGTAAGAAAACAATGAAAAGGTGGCCATCTGCAAGGTAGGAAGTGGGCCCTCACTAGGATCCAAATTGGCCAGGACCTTGATCTTAGATTTCCCAGCCTCTAGAACTCTGAGAAAATAAATTTCTATTGTTTAA